TATCTAGATGCCATTCGATAGAACTACTAACTGCAGTCACTGGTGCTGGATCTTCAAGGCTTCTGCAGTACTATTTTTGAGCAAGACTATGAGGATTATGATAATGCGAGAGATGTCTCTTACAAGCAACTGGAGAAAGATTATTATCTCAGTATGTAACAATTTTTTTGTTATTACGTATACAATTAAAATTCATGCACAATTTTTTAAAATGTTACTACATTTTTTTATCAATCAAATGTAGAGTTTATTTATATATTTTATATCTATCTTTATGTATATTTTATTTTAATTTAATTACTTTCAAAAGAATTTAAAAAATTGAAGAAAAAATGAGATGTAAAATAAAAATAATAACGAAATTAATTATTGATAATTATTAAGCATTAACGAAGAAATTTTGTCAATAATAACAATTACCAACGAAATTTGCTGGTTAAGTAATTGTATTCAGTAAAAACAAAATATTTTTGAAGATACAATTTTATAATTTATCGATGAAAATTTTTGTCATTAAAAATATTTTTAATAAATTTATTTTTGTCACTATAATTTTTTAGCGACAGAATTTTCATCACTAAAATTTATCACATTCCCACTACCGAATTCACTAATTCCCTACAGTTAATACCGATGGATTAATCATTCAAAAAGAAAATCGTTATCAATGAAATGAAAATGTGTAGCAAGAAAATAAACAAACATATAATAAACGCATCAAAAATAAATCCATCATGGCAGATGGAAGACTTGAAAGAAAATGACTTGACGTTAGCCGAATATTAATTACAAGCCAAAAGCTGTGGAGTAAGCATTAGACAAATTTACATTCAAAGCTATGTGGATTTTGATTATTGGCCCGTAATTAATTTAATGCGCTACAGCCAACCAAATTGGAAAGTCTTAATTCAACTAACAATCTGACAAACTTACAAACGTTCCATTCATCAACAATCGTAATTAAATTAAAGAATAACTAAAATACTTACCACAAACATTCGATTCATTTAACAATTTGAAAAACACCCAACATTTTATATCAAATATTGAATTATATCAATTTAACAAAATAAAAATTAATTAAAAATAATAGGAAAAACTAACACGCTCACTTATTATTCATGTAATTATTAATATAAAAATAAAGTTTTAGTTTAAAAATAAGGTTTGAAAGTTTGTGTGAACATTTCCAGTTCCATCCAATTTTTATTTAATTTTTATATTCGATTTAAATAATTTAATTTAGATCAATTTAAATACGAAAATTGAATTAACATGTTTCAAACTTACTTTAGATTAATTGTTTTTAAATCATTTTATATAAATTAAAATTTAGTCAAATTTAAAGCTCAAACTCTAATGTCTAATTTGATTTAATCTCGGATCAAAATTCAACCATTCGAACCTGAAGGTCCAATAGAAATCTAAATCAATTTTTTAGGTCTCAACTCCAATTTTAGATTCAGATTAATTTTTAAATCCCAATTTCATTTTTATTCTTTTATTTATTTGAAATTAATTAAATTAATTGATATTGATTAATAACAATATAATAACAAAAAAAGGGGAAAATGGACAAATAGGTGCGGCCAGCAATCACTACAACAAGGGCAGCTTGCTGCCATAACAAGCCAAAGTCCCAGTACCCTGCTCTGCCAGCTTTCACCAGACTTCACCAGTCCCTTCACTATCCTAGAATTTTTGTCTATTATGGAAATTTACAGATAAAATTGACAAGCACCAAAGGGGGGAAGGCAGCAACAATTTTTTTCAAGTTCCAGCACCCATTTCCACCCTATAAGCACCCTCCGACCAACCCATTGCACGCACCAAGCCTGAGCACCGAGCCCCTGCATGTATCAAGCCCCGGCCAACCCTAACACCATTAACAGCCCCAACTCAACAATCCACCTTCATCAGCCCTTCCTCAACACCAAATCAAGCCCTTCAAAAGCCCCAGCCTTCGCCCGTACAAGCCACTGACCAGCCCCTCCTAAAGCTTCTCGCCTGCACCCCCAACATAAAGGTCCTCCTCAACATCTTTTCCAAACCCCATGCTAGTCCCTGGTAGAACCCCAGCACCACGCTTACAATTCCTTTCACCATCACCGACCCTCACAACACCAAGCTCCACACCCAAGCAACCAATCCTAACAAGCGAGCCAGCACCAACCCTGCCATCCTTGCTGCCATCAACCGTCACGGCCAGAAAGACACTAAAAAAAAAAAATCCTACCACGACGACAACCTAGCCAAACCAACAGCACCTCCCCTGCCCGTGCCACACCGTGACCACCCTTCTTGCCTTAAAACTCCTCCTCATCAGACCCTAAATCTCCCCAAAACAAAACAACCACCATCAAACATAAGCCTCTAGGAAACAGAACCCTTACATAGCCCTTCCAACACATAAAAAAACCATAAAAATATAATAATTATATTTTTTTTATGATAATAAGAATAAATATGTTAAAAATAAAATTTATAACTTTATAAAATTGACATGCAATGCTACATGCGTATTTATTATTGGCCCATAATTAATTTGATGCATATAGCCAACCAAATTGAAACTCTAAATTGACACTTCGATACTCGCATATCTATAAGTGTTGACACTTCAATGCATTATAAGCGTTGCCATAATGAAACATTACTATAAGTGTTAACACTTTAATGCATTATAAGCTTCAGGAATAGAAAATAACTCGAAGACGTGGCTCGGAGGCACGGCTCAATTTGGCTCAACAACTAAGTTTGATTGATATGCGGGTCAATGGATTAGGTTGCAATAGAATCGAATTACTCACTGACAAAACGTGTAGATCTTAGATTTTTTTAAACGCCAAAACACATTTTGAGGTGATATAAAAAGGAAAAATTTTCGTTTTTTCCTTCAAATTTCCTCTCTCCTCTCTCTTTCTTCTTTGTTTATCTCTCCCTCTCTCTACAACCCAAAAATTTGATTGAATATTTCACTGAAAATTAGAAAAAAATGCTATAAACTAAAAAATTTCATCGAAAAAGATGAATTTCGCAAGAAAATTGATCGGAATTTGGAAAATTTTTAGAAAATTTCTAGAAAAAAACTGCCAAAAAATTTGAAAAAATTCTTAAAAATTCTAGGATTGCTTCTGCTCTTCTAAAAACCTTTTTTTTTTTGCTTCTGTTTTCTAGTTTCTGTGTCCTCTCAAGCTTGGCTAGGTCTGTATTTGTAGAACTTTAAAAACACATAATCCAATTTTGAATAGAAATCTCAATTTCATTCAAACTTTAACCACATTCAACTTCTTTAAATACATCTCAAACTCTTCAATCCAGTTTTACACAAATTTAACCATATTTTTTCATTTTTTATTTTTTATTTTTTATTTTTTAATTAATAAAATTAACTTAATAGACCCTAGACATATTAAGATGTGACTATGAGGATTATGATAATGTGAGATGTCTCTTACAAGCAACTAGAGAAAGATTATTATCTCATAATGTAACATTTTTTTTTTGCTATTACGTATACAATTAAAATTCAGACCCAATTTTGTAAAATGTTACTACATTTTTTTATCAATCAAATGTAGAGTTTGTTTAATTGTTTATATCTGTATATATATATATATATATATATATATATATATTTATATATATGGAAGAATTTAAAGCAAATGAGTTGACGTTGGCTAAACATTAATTACAAAGCCAACAGCTGTGGTCCAAATTGACATTCAAAGCACGTGCATATTTGATTATTGGCCC